TCAAAACCCCATCTACCGCTCCCGGGAGGGCAACTCCGTGGAGGATTACAAAGACCTGCACGAGCTCAAGGTCACTTACAGTAGCAACCACCACCTGCAGCAGCAGCCGCCGCCGCCGCCGCCGCCGCCGCAGCCGCCCCAGCAGCAGCCCCCGCCGCAGCTGCAGCTGCAGCCGGGGGAGGAGGAGAGGCGGGAAAGCCACCACTTGCGGAGCCCCGCCTATAGTGTCAGCACTATCGAGCCCCGGGAGGACCTGCTGTCGCCGGTGCAGGACGCCGACCGCTTTTACAGAGGCATTTTAGAACCAGACAAACACTGCTCCACCACCCCCGCCGGCAACAGCCTCCCGGAATATCCCAAGTTCCCGTGCAGCCCTGCTGCTTACACTTTCTCCCCCAACTATGACCTGAGACGCCCCCATCAGTATTTGCACCCGGGGGCAGGGGACAGCAGGCTGCGGGAACCGGTGCTCTACAGCCCCCCCAGTGCTGTCTTTGTAGAACCCAACCGGAACGAATATCTGGAGTTAAAAGCAAAACTAAACGTTGAGCCGGACTACCTCGAAGTGCTGGAAAAACAGACCACTTTTAGCCAGTTCTAAAAGCAAAGAAACTCCCTTGGAGCTTTTGCATTGAAAACAAACAAGCAAGCAGACACACACGGTGAACACATTTGATTAATTGTGTTGTTTCAAAGTTTAGGGTGAAGTGCCTTGGCACGAGATTCTCAGCTTCAGCGGAAGATACTGAAAGGGTGTGCAATTTCCTTTTCCTATACCCGTGGGGAAACATTTGTGTAAACTGGGCACATCGCTTTCTCTTCTTGAGTGTGGGGAAGTCGAGGAGAAGGGCTTTATGGAGGGCAATTCCCTGTGCGGGTGACTTGTTAAAGGTCGCAGTCATTTTCGTAGTGGTTGGAAGTGCTAAGAATGGTGGTAGATGGCAGCGCATAGATTCTACTCTTCCACTTTTACTGCCTCCCCCCCCCTTCTCCCCCTTCGAGCCATGGGTGGGTCTAAATGGCTTTTGTGGAGAGATTAGCACACCCCAACTTTAATAGAAAGTTTGCCCGCCACCCGCCTTCCTCCTTCCCTTTTTCTTCCTCCCTCTCCTTTCCCCGCTCCCTCTCCTTCCTCCGTTTCCTTTCTCTGCCTCCCTGCCTCCTCCTCCTCTCATTTCTTTCCTTTCTTTTTAAAGGATGTGTTTGTATGCATTCTGGACATTTGAATTTAAAAAAAAAGTATTGTGATCTTGAAAAGGATCACCATAGATGTGGACAAATCATTAAAATTACAGAGCTATATGATCCATAATTGATTAGTCAAAATAACTTATTGATGAAATATACAAATATTTTATTGTAGCACCTATTTTTATATGCACATTTAGCATTTCTCTTTCCTTCATATTTAGCCTATGATTTTCACAGAGGTGTCACACTACATCAGGAGCTGCATTTCCAAAACTAAAGTGATATCAGGAAGGCATTTTAAAATCATTAAAAATATGGAGAACTTAATGGCAAAATCTTAAAAGTCAATGCAACCCACCCAATTGAATCTGTAATTTAAAAAAAAAACTGATTGTATCCCAATGTATAAAAGAAAAATATTTAGGGCAATTAATTGGGCCATTTGAGTGAGAATCGTGTGCAAGTTTCTGGTTTTATTAGAGAAGATTTAAAAGTATTTTTATTAGTCAACCAAAATGATGCATTGATTTGACTACTATTGTAGCCAATTTTTGATTGTTTAACCAAACCCAGTTGCATTTGTACAGATCCACGTATACTGGCACCTCAGAAGACCAAATGATGGACTGTACAAATCTCTATATAATGTCTTTATCCCTCTGGGCAGCAAGCAATGATGACAACCACAAACAGGATCTCTGTAAGATGGGGCTACTGTTGTTACAGTCTCATATGTATCCCAGCACATGTAATTTTTTAAATAGTTTCTGAATAAACACTTGATAACTATGTCAAATAAGAGGGATTGAAGTAATGATTGTGTGAGATGCAAAAGAAATAGCTATGTGTGATTGACTAAATCGCCGTTATTAACAATTTAAGACATAGTAGCTAACTATTATTCTTAAAAGAAAAAAATGTTCCCCTAATTATCAGATTTTAAATATATATATAATTACACATTTGTTGGTTCAGGGAAGTATGTTTCTCTATATGTGTCATTTAATGTGTTTATTAATGAATTTCAATTGTACATTTCTTTTCCTTACTGAAGTGTTCATCTAACATGTGGAGCATGGTAAGTAACATATTACATATTGATTTTTCTCTCAATAGTATGTGTTTTGCCATGCCAGTATTATTTATCCGGTCTAGAATTTAACTTGTGTAAAACTACCTTCAACAATTATGATGGGTACTTTATCTCAAGTTGATCTGTATCTTACATGTTCAAAATGTTAGTGTGTACAAGCTGTCATGAGTATCTCTGAGTGAGGTTTGGCAGTGAATGAGATTAGTACTTAAGGGTAGGAAACATGTAAATTAATCTGAAACTTAAAGAGCCTTGTGCTTCATTGGTGTTGGTGGATCTCCCCAAATCTCACTGGAATGTGTACAAAATCAAGGGCTGTTCATGAAGTTTATGTTTAAGGAACACTTTCCATGGCATTCTGCCACAAAGAGGCAGCATTCACCCATGAGTAAACTGACAGTAACTACTTGAAAATAGATTGAAAAGGTGGTAACAGTTTCCCTAAGGAATTAAAAAATAAATAGTAATGCTACATTGGCCAAGTGAAGTAAACTGTCCCCATTCCGTGCAACATTTTCCCTTCCAATTTTTTTTTTCAAAGAGGAAAGGAATAAACTTAATGCTATGCTATTACCATGAGAAAAAACTTCTCTCTTACTTTCCATCTACCTCCTCCATATCAGATCCAGGATTAGAAGA